ATCCGTGAAAAATTACAGCTGTTCACCTAACGAAATTGTACACTGGGTTTGGAACCCATCACGTAAAAAACAGCTGTAACAGAAAATTTAACAATACCTCGGATGAGAGAACCGCATTTTGTTGTCATATCGAAATGCAATGGGCGAGACAAGAACGGAATAATTAGAATCCTTGGGACATTTATTACAGCGGTGTTATATTAGGAACCCAAATTCGTTGTCGGACTCATGGTGGATAAGAAACTCCATCGTCTACTCCTGGCAATCACTTTCTAAATACGAACGTCTGGTCTCAATTCGCAACGAAGCGAAAATGGTATTTTTGTTACAAATGTCACTACGAAACATCCCCAAATGGATTAAGGCTAATTGACTTTGCCGGTGACCGAAATTTGTTATTTGCACTACTAGATTCCAGCATTGAAAAACTCACATGTAAATCGATCTTCTTGTGATAGACGGAGGACACGTTTCTAGTGTTCTTAATGTGCGTACCCTCCGAAGACCTAACATGGACTCAGAACACTATATTGCAGCAACAACAGATACTTACCCGTCTTTGTGCAACAATAATCCATCTAAAACTCTATGGGAGTTTCGACGTGATACCGAGAATTAAAGAGGGAAGCAAGACATATGTGCAGACAGAAAAGGTTGAGGCTGAGATTTGAGAGTTCGACGAGCTTAGAAAGCTGGATGTCAGGAGTAATGCTCGAAAATTCTACGAAAAAATGCGACATCTTAAAGAAGGATTTCAAGAATACAGCAAACTCTTATAGGACCCAGAGAGCTAATCCAGCCACTGATGTTCAGAGTATACTAAAGTTATGGAGGAACAGCTCTGTAGCCTGCTGAATGGCAGTGACAAAGGAAAGAAGAAGAATAATTTATTATCTCAATTTGTGCATTTGTACCCCTGTACTCATACATGCGATTTTCGGCCGACATACATATGTATGTATGTATTTTCCACTTTAACAGTCATTATATATAGATATACATACATACATACATACTGGTTTGTTCACAAAACTTAATCATTATAATAAATAAATTACATTTAAGTCGGATTGAACTTAAGATTGACTGACAAGCACATATTAGTCATCGACTAACGGCTAATCTACATTAATGTACGTGTATGTATGTAAGTACATTTGAAAATGAAAGCGGCAGAAAAATGCAAACAACTAATCATGAAATTTGTATAATAATAAAATAATAATAATGTGGTTTTGTGATTTTCTCAATAATTTATTAAGAACCATAATACATCACTGGCAGTTCTGCTTAGATCTAGATTATACTGATTGAAGGAAAAAAGTCGAGTCCAAGTATAGACACTTGAAACTCTCAGCTGTCTAAAATAATCTCCTAAGCAAAGGCGGAGGGTAATAACTAATTTTAAATCCAATCGAAAGATTTGTCAATTCGCCGTTACCAGGAAAACTTTTATGACCAAGTGCTCAAACTATAGTGAGCCCATCTCATTAATTTTGAATTGGCATAAGGACCGCTTACGAAGCTGAGTTTCTTTGTCCATGACGATACTAAATCCTCTTTTATTTTAAATTCTCTGCGCTTCTACTAGGCAGAGCACTCTTGGATGAACGCGATGATTACGCACATTGATTTGCCTTCTTCTCACCGCGTTCATCCAAGAGTGCTCTGCCTAGTAGAAGCTGATTATAACGCAGTCAAAGTATGATTTGCGCTCTGAAGCGTCACAGAAACGAGAGGAACAATGGTTTAGTGTTCTATATGAGCGTACTTCCTGGAGCCGTGATGACATCGTTAAATTTCTAATTGCGGTCGCGCCTTGGCAGGGAATATCAACCCCTTCGATTGTATTTCCAACCTGAAAAAAAAGCTTGTAGATCCTTCTTTTTTTTGAAAAATACATTCACTTCAACGGTTACAAAGCGTCAAATACTTATAGGACGCAATGAGATGATCTAGCGACCGATGTCCAGAGTATACCGAATTTATGGAGAGGACACTTCCCCAGCTTGTTGAATAGTAGTGAAAATTGACCACTAATAGATGGCGAAACCTATTGACAATCGCTGTCAATGGAACAGATGTTCAACTATGAGGAAGTTCGATTTGCAATTTTCCGCCGAACTATGCGAATGCAGTAACGAGTAGCATACACTAGCTTCTTTGCAAAATTTGGTCGAATGAAAGGATGTGAGGTCGAAGCGAAATCTTCGAAAGACCCCTGAAAAGAGGTATCCCCGTAAATCTTATACGACTATGTAAACTCACATTAGACAACACAGGACCGGAAAGGACCAAAGAGGATCTCTCCGAACCGTTTATTATGAAACGAAGTTTCAGACAAGGTGAATCTTTATCGTGTGACTTCTTTAATCTATTGCCTGAGAAAACATTACTATCTGATGATGCGTAAGATTTATTTTACTTTATGTATTAACAACGGCGAGTATCACAGTCGGTGGAAACTGCCATTTTTATCTTAACCAATGATTTTTCTGTTCCATTAATTGATTTTATTATTCTTGTCGCAATAATTATCTAGTGCCTAAGCTGTAATTTCAAAGTGCAGTAATGTTTCTGAAACAGAATTTTATGACTTAATAATTAGCACTATTGGTGTGAAACTTATGGAGTGCAATAAGAAAAATAGTAATTAGTAAGTAATAGTAAGCAACCAAAGTAAGTTTGTAAATGTCTTACAACGGGTGTTTAATTGCTGATTAAACGAATAAATTGTGTAATATTATATAAAAAGTCATTGCACTCTGGCTAAGCTAAACCTAAAAATTATCATTTTTAAGAAATTCTTAAAGTATTACTGCATTTAAAATTTGAAAGTGAAAGTGAAAGTATTTACAGGCCTATTCTGTCGAGGTAACAAAATTTACCTAGCTTTTAAAATTTACCATCCAGTAAATTTTGTTACCATTTCGTATTCTGAGCTCACTGCTACCCTGTAAATTTTGTTACCAGCGAAATAGGAGGTAACAAATATATCTGCTGTTTGATTTTGTGTTGTAAGTTTGAGAAAAAATAAAAAACCAAAATGGGTAGGCATATTTTAGGCCTGGAATTCATTGAAGATGAGGAAAAAAGTGCAAAAAGGCGTATATTAAGAAGTTTTCCAGACTGAAAAATAGCTTTTTAATTTGTAAGGTAACGTTTTCATTCAGCTTTTTTTGTTGTCCAGGCATATTTTCCATAATTAAGTTCAAATATTTATGATTTAATAGACAAATAAATAAAACTTTTTAATTTTTTTGTGCGCCGTCTTCCATGTTTCTTTTTACTTAATCAACTGGCAAATGTATTTTGATATGGACGAAAAAAGCAGTGCTGCCAAATATTTTTTAAACATTATAACTAGTTCGCCAGAATACCAAATTCAATTTCGGGTGTTAAGGAAAAGTAACTGTTAGTGAAAAGTTACCAATCTTATAAAAACAGTTCAAATTTACCGAAATGCCTTAAAAAAAGGGAAATTTATTACGATAATAGAGCTAGAGCTTGATAATTCAAGTTCTAAGTGAAGAAGGTAAGTCTTAGGTTGAGATTTCCAATTTGGTGGGACGTTCGCGGTGCGCGGTCCAATATGCTATCAGGCGATTTGTGGAGACGAAATCACACAATAATAAATCAAAAAGTGGAACAAAAGCATCTAACCAGTAAACGAGAAGACCGAATGCTTATACGCGAGTCAATCAAAAAAGGCAAAAAATCTCCTTCTGCCCTTGTAGATGCCCTTTCGGCTGAATTTAGTAAACCAGTTAGTGCTAGAACAGCTATAAGAAGACTTCTGGAATCAGATTTAAGAGGATATAAAGCCCAAAAGCGAAAGAAGTTATGGCTCTCAGAAAAGAATAGAAAAAATCCTTTGGAATGGGCTCGGCGATACCAACATTTCACGGAAGAAGATTAATTGAATGTTCTTCTGTGGTCTGATGAATCAAACTTCGAGGCAAGCTTAGTTAAGATCGTCCTAAAGTATTAACAGTCATAGCTTTTTAGCCTAGAGCAATTTTGAAGATATTTCCACAGATATTTGGAACAACTGGTGTGACGTTCGTGAGGCGACGGGTTGGGGAAGAATATCATCCAGATTGCGTGGCAACCACTGTTAAGCATGGAGGAGGCAGCATTTTGATCTGGGGCTGCATGGCTGCTGATGGTGTAGGCGAAATTCTCGTTTGCGAGGATCGCATGGACAGTCAAAAGTACATAAATGTATGAAAAGCTTTTCTTCTCCCATCGTTAATGCGCATTTTCGGCGATAATAATTTAGACGGTGTTCATTTTCAGCAAGACAATGCTCCTTGTCAGAAATCAGCGACTACGATGCGTCGGTTTAGAGATAACAACATTGTTTTGTTAGATTGGCCGGCACAGTCTCCAGATCTTAATCCCATTGAGCACATTTGGGCTATTTTAAAACCCAAGATTAAGGATCACAGTATAACATCAAAAACTGCCTCAAAGGATGCCTTAATTTACGAGTGGTACGCTATAAGTGCGGACGAATGTCTAAAGTTTGTACGCAGCATGCCTAAGAGAATTGCTGCCGTTATTACATCGAAGGATGAACCTACTAAATATTAATGTTATTGTCACTAAATCATTGTATTTTCACTATTTTACTAATAAAACTTCATTACTTCACTTGTTAAAACAAAAAATTCAGTAAATGGTGGGGTGCCTAATACTTTTGGCCAAGACTGTATATGTTTGTTTAAAAACCTATAAATGCTTTGAAAAAACTACAGTTGAGAGTAACCGGTTTCAATGCAGTGCCACCTTTTTTAACGGAATTCATAGAGAGTCTAGCAGGGAAAACTTGTTATCACACTGTGGTACATGCAAAAATTAACACACTCACACAAATATATAACTAATTTATTTTTACACTTTAGCCGTAACAGTGAGTTCTTGAACTTAATGTGTGAGTACATTGACATTGGAGTAGTCTCTTGAGAGCGACACCGTAACGATTTCAGACGACTTACCTTTTTGTACTTGCACTTGATAGCTTAGATCCTGGAATTGTATATCAACGGGTTTGACGCGCTTTTTCAGCAATTTATCTTGTGATGCCAGCGACATTTTTGTGTTTTTGTTATTCTACGCGTTTTTTTTGGTTTATTTAAAATAATAATATTTAATTTAAACTTTATTGAAGTTATTTTTTCTTTTATTTTAATTTTAATTTTCACTTTTTTATCACAAATATTTGTGCTATAAGTTTTTTTATTTGATCACAGTTGTTAAGAACTTTACCGTAATGATTTCCAATCTTAACTGAATTCAAATGCCACTTGATTCTGTTTTACTTGTATTTTTTTTTTTATTAAATTTACAGAGCACTTTTGTTGAATTTTTTGTTGTTCGCTCTCTTATATTTTGTGTGCACATACGCAAGTATATAATATAAATTTTTATTTGTTTTATTTACACCTGTTGGCATTACCGACGAGTGTGACTCTTCCATTCATAATGACAGTTAGAAACACGCTGGAACGCAGTTATATTTTCTTATCTGTAATAGGTAAATAGAAAATGAAATTAAATAGAAATACTATGAAACAAATGTAATAGAAATAAAGCAGAAAATAAAATAAATAAAATCGAATACAATAAAGTAAAATTAAATTAAATAAAACAAAGTAAAATGAAATGAAAAAGTGGATTAAATTAAAATCAAATAAAATGAAATTAAATTAAAATCAAATAAAACGAAATTCAATTAAATTACTTCAATTAAAACAATTAAATAAAACAAAATAAGATAAAATAAAAAACGAAAAAATTCAGTAACGTAAAATAAAAAAAAATTAATAAAAAAAGTCGAATAAAATAAATTAAATAAACAAAAAAAATTAAATTAAATATAACAAAATAAAATGAGATCAAATAAAAATATAAAGCAAAGTAAAGAAAAAATAAAATGAAATGAAATATAATAAAAGACAGAGAAAATAGAGAATAAAATAAATATAAAACATAATAAGAAAACAAAGTAAACCAAAACAAAATTTAACTAATTTATAAATAAAGGAAACTTAAATAAAATAAAATATTTCAAATAAATTAAATAAAATAAAATCCAAAAAATCAAATAAAATAAAATAAACGAAATGAAATAAACTAAAATTAAATTAAACTAAATAAAAAAAATTAAGTAATAATAATTAAAAAAATTAAGTAATAATAAATAAAAAAATTAAGTAAATTGAAATAAGCTAAAGAAAACTTTTCGGAACATTAGCAACCAAGAATGTTTAGATACACTCGTATACATAGCACATTTTTACAGTTGTACGAGTATGTACTAAGTTAGCAAAATAAGCGAAAAGTATTGCAAATATTTGCTCGCTAAAGATCAGAATTTTATTCTAAGACTATTATTTCATTTTATACTTCAATTCACATTTTTATATTTGATCATATTTTTTTATTATATTGTTTTATTAACATTAAATATACTTTTTTATTTTTTTCTAATTTTATTAATATTTTTATTAATAAAATTTCATTTGATTTGTTTCATTTTATGTTATTTATAAATAAAGTGGAAGATTTATTTTAGATATTTTATCATCTTTTATTTCGTTTGTATGCATTCTTATTTTAATTATATTTTACGTAAATTTATTTTATTTTTTACTATTTTTTTTTTTTTGTTATTATCTATTTTATTTCATTTCATTTATTTTTATTTCTCTTTTAAGTTTTATGTAATTAACTTTATTCTTATTTTACTTTACTACATCTTACTTCAATTAATTTAGTTCTTATTTTATTTTTATTTTACTTGACTTAATTTAATTTATTTTTCTATTTTCTTTTAATTTTTATATTATATAATTTAAATTTTATTTAATTTATCACATTTTATTTTTCATATTTCGTAATTTTCTTTTTTTTATTACTTTAATTTAATTTAATATTATTTTATTTATTGTAATTTAATTTTTTTTTAATTTTTTTCATTATATTCGTTATTTTATATTATTTATGTAATTTACTACTTTATTTTCTTTTACTTCATTTCATTGTATTTTATTATAACTTAAATTATTTTTTCATTTGTGTTTGATTTAATTAAATTTTATTTAATTATAGTTCTTTTACTTTGTTTTAATTTATTTTATTTAACTTTGTTTTATTTTATTTCATTTTATTTTATTTAATATTATTTTATTTTTTTTTTAAATTTATTTAATTTAATATTGTTTAATTTTAATTAATTGTATTTTAATTTCCATTTTATCTTCTTTTATTTCATTTGATGTTATTTTATTTCGTTTTATTTATTTTTGTTGTGTTTTATTTTAATTTTATTCTTACTTTATTTTAATTAGTTTAAATAAATTTTTAATTGTTTTTATTTTACTTCGTTTTATTTAATTTTCTATTTTTTTTTAATTATTTTGTTTTATTTTATTTGTATTTTGCTTTACATTATTTGCTGATATTTTATTTTATTTTATATATATTTTTTTTTTTGAATTTCGTTTAGTTTCTTTTCTTTCATTTCATTTTGTTTTATTTTTCATTAAGCACAAAATATCTGCTTGCATTTGCAATTGCAATTGCAAACGGCAAAACAACGAGGAAAATATGATTTTTATGTTTACGACTTCCAGTGGCGCAAGGAAGTTTTCTGACTTTATGACATCAGTCAATTTCAAATCAACTTTTAAAAACAACAACAACATTTTTTGAAAGTTTGTAATTAACGCTATGACATTCTACAACATTATGTGATTTTTTTAATTACAAGTATGCATAGTTACATAAATACATACATATATGTACATATGCACTCATTCATACTTAATACCAGAGCAAATCACACTGCCCCTTACTGTCAAAATATTATTGTATGTTAAAACAAGGTTTTGAAAGGCAAAACAAAAAATATCAATTCATGTACTTGCGTAAGGCACAATAAACACAGTTATTCTTCTGAACACTACTTGTTTATAATTTTAGTAGGCAATAATTAAAATTAATGAGTCGTTAAAACGATACTAAGGCGCGTAGATATAGATATATAAAATGAATGCACTAACATATTCATTTTATATACGATTAATTTATTGGAAAATAGTAGGTTTAGATTCTCACATTAAGGTGTAGCTGGGTTTTATGGCTTTATAATTAAATAAATAAAACATGTGCGATAGTAAATAATAATAATAATGCATTAAATTTATTATATTTCTGATAACGAGAATTAATCAACAGCTATAAAGGCCCAATTGTTTATGGTCCACGGGAACTTAACTATGTAATTAAGAATATTATTTAAACTTTAGTAACTTGGCTCATATGAGCAGAACCATCATTATGCATTACCTGATCGTGAAATAGCGGGGGATCGCTATGGGGTGATCTACGGGCTTAAATAAAACTTGTCTAAGCGAATTCTGGATGTGTACATACATTAATACATATGGCATGGTCCCATACGTCTGGTGAGGTTGAGCAATTTCAGCGGCTCTCTGCACTGTAATCACTGCACTGGGCGCTAGGCACTACTCCAATGGCGGCACTTGGCACAGTTATTTGACCTTCCACCAATCTACATTGCAGTAGAAAGCACGGCAGTGAAATGGCTGCTCGATTTGCTAGGGTATGGAGAACAACAGGGACGATATATACCCTTAGATCCAAGGGTGGATGGATCAAGAATATGCGACCTGCCAATAGAACTTATAACATCTACTCGGATCGTCAAAAAATAGTTGATGAGATTGCCAAAAGTGATGTTCGTTTTACTATTGAACTAAAACAGTATATACAAAAGTAGCTAGAAACTATCCATAACAAAGTTTCCGTAATCAGAGTGAGATGGAACGCTATACTGACAAGCTAAGTAAACATGTATTTCTGGCAGGGCAGTTGTGGGTCTAATGATAGACCACAAGATGCTGTTTTCCCATGCAAGCAGATTTGGCAAAAGTAGCAGTGACAAATGTAAGAAGGGATTCCTGCCGCATGAATGGAATGAGACGTTAGAACACTGCCTCGGTTTCTGTCCGAACTTAGCTGGAAATCGTTTTTAATATCTCAGAGTTAAAAGGAATTAAATGGAATTTTTTAGGATTTCTTAAACTTCGCGAAAGGCGTTGACGTACTACACAACGACTATCTAGCACTACAAAGGTCCAACGGGTTTCTGTAAGGCGCTTTAGCTAGCCAGTGCTCCCTAACATAACCTATAAAAACTTAGTTTAAGCAACATTTTTAGTAGAAAAAACGCTGAATTTTAATGTCTCTCCTGCTAATTTATGCACCCAATTTTGTCATTCACCTTTAAGGTCAGCAACAACAAGCACAAAGCACAGCGAACTATTTCACAAACACAAACAACAACAGCGATAAACACTAGCTAGTCACTTGCACTTGTCAAAACTCAAACGAAGCGATCAAAAAAATTCATATATCTATGTATGTATGTACGTACAAGTGTGTGTACTCAAGCGCGCAAACTCGAACTCGTCTGGTAAGCGCGCAATGCAAAAATAAGACTGCCGCGTGCTATAGGAAACGGACCGTCTTACCCGGTAACCGTTTGAGCAAAAACTACGGAAGCGAATCCAAAAACGAATTGCTTAAAACCAGATGAGCTCGACCGACTACCAAAAGGCAACAAAAACCAAGAGTAAAAAATAAAATAACAGAAAAAAAGCTATAAAAAAAATCACAACTTTTCAAAATATAACAACAAAAAATTTCGTAAATAAAAATATAAAAAACTACAACAACAAATACGCAAAAGCATAACAGCGCGCTAAGCTCAAAGCGTTTGTGAATGCAAAAAGCGTCGTCGCCAAGTCAAAGTGCTTGAAGAGTGCTTCCAAAAAAAAAAAAAAAAACACACAAAAACAACAATAAAAGAGAAGAATTCAGAAACAACAAACATACATAGGTAAATAAATAAATTAATGGTAGAATATATAGAAATATTTGGGAAGCAAAAGTGTTATGTAGACAAAACGCATTTTTTCCAACAAGAAAACTTTGTTGTTGCTGTGCAATGAGCGTATTTTTGAGCATAACAATAACAACAATAATAAGGTTTCACCTAATAAGTCAGCAAAATAGCTACACACACACATACTCGCACAATTATTATTATTATTATTAATAATAATAAGCCAACAACCTTCAACAACGAAGGTAACTTTAGAATTCCAAAATGGAAAAAAAATATTATTTTTAATAAGGAAATTTTAATATTTAAAATAAAAAAATTAAGCTTTAAAGAGAAACACAGAAGCTTGAGTAAAGCTATATAAAAATGCATATGTATATATGTACATGATATGCATCTGTATATGCATACATATATGTATATGAATATAAAAATATAAAAATATAAATTAAAAAATGTTCACTTCTTTCTTCTTCTTTCTAGAAACTAACAGTCAATTAAGATCCCTTAAGATGTAGCAATTTTCACGTAATTTTTACTTCCTTCTCGCATTTTTCTGCAACAAAAATTCAATTTCTACTTTTGGTCAACCTGAAACCAGTTTCTGCAATTTAATTTTATGACTTCTTTATCTTTATTGGTTTAGGCACCGCTTACGCCATTATTGTCGAGTTCTTTTCTTTGTTTGGTGCGAATTGGAAACAACTTAACCTCCTCTTTCTTCCAACGGAGTGGTGCTCTTCATCTTCCACTGCTTACAACGGCGGATACTGCATAGAAAACTTTCAAAGCTCGAGCATTCTGATACATCCGGAACGCTGCATCTTGATTCACTGAACTATGTCAATATCCCGTTAAAGCGCATCGTTCCATCATCTGCGATACTCGTCGTTGCCTATGCGCAAAGGACCATAAATCTTACTCAATACTTTTCTCTCGTAGACTCTCAACTGGACTCAACAGATGTTGCCATCGTCTATGCCTGCACAGCATATAGCAAGACGGGAATGACTAACGACTTATAGAATTTGGTCTTTGTTCGTCTAATTTTGAATTGCCTACTCAGTCCAAGCTTGTAGGTGTTGACAAGTGTGCTTTGCGTTGCATTTCAATCCTGACATTGTTTTTGTTTCCAATATAGACGAAATTATCTACAACTTTAAAGTTATGACGGTCAACAGTGAGGTGAGAGCCGAGTCGCGATTGCACTGACTGATTTCGTATTATTTTCTCCAGCAATAAATTAGAGAAGTGACACGTGAAAGAGTCAACTTGTCTGAAACCTGCTTTGGTACTGTACAGCTCGGAGAGCGAACTCTTTTTCTGATACTATCGAAAATCAATTATTTCAGTTTTCTTTATATTATTTTCGTCCTACAGACTTCAATGAACTTTGACGCCACCTTTAGTTAGTCAGCCAATAAAGATCAGCAGTCGACATCAGCCAGGTCGTCTGGCATTTTAAGGCCGTTAATGAAGACTAGTATATGAACTTGCTGATATATCAACAAGCACACACATATATATCTACACTTGTATGTACAGCATATGATATGTTAATTATATGATAATATTCTAGACTCATTCCACAGCTTTTATTAAAAAAAAAAATTCCAACTCACGTTGACGCAGACGCACAAAAGTTTTCCATCACCTCAAGGCTGCGAATGAAATAGCAACACAAAATATGTCTTGTCATGACATACATATGTACTCGTATGTTAATCAGCCACAGATCTTTGTCAATGAGTAAGAAATTAACAGTCAGAGAGGTGGACTGGCGTTGGTTGTCATGAAAGCTTCATTTGTGTGCAAATATTATTACTAGGGTTCCTGAGTAAATATTAAACCGGTCTTGTTAATTAGAGTAATCTGACGAAGGAACGTGCATGCTTCTTAATATCATAATAAAGTTTAATCAAGGTACAGCAATAAAATTCAAATTTCTTTAAGCTCAAGAGTTGCTAAAACCCTATCCGCATCTGGCTGTATTGATATAAAGATCCCAGTTTGATGGCTAATACTTATAAAAGTAAGACTTTAGTAGAAGGTCTCAACAGCTGGCTGCATATGCCGATAACATTTATATCATAGAACTTAATAACCGCGCTGTTAGTTCTGCTTTGCCCAGACTAGACAAAGTAGCGAATGAGTCTAGAAGTGAACGAGGACAAGACCTTATATCTCCTATCATCAAACAAACAGGCAGTGCACTTGCCTCTCAACACCCACATTATCAGCATTAACACCAACAACAATGTCAGCCTGGAAATCCAACACAGAAGCAGTCTTGCAAACAGATGCTAATTTGAACTGAGTAGGCAAAACCAACCCCAAACTCTATAAGCCTCTGATCACTCCCGGCATGCTACATGGTGCAGAAGTGTGGACGATGTCAACAACTGAAGAGTTTGCATTAGGAGTTTGCAAGAGCTGAGCAAGATAAACGGTAGTTCAGCATATAAAAATAACGGCGGCGCTGTTTAGTATATGTCGTTCCGAATCGGCAAAGTGAGTATGAGTATGAGTGTCGATCATCTTTTTACGGGTATTTTGCTAAATTTGTCGTATGGTGAATATCTGATCTTAGCTCATTGACCAGCTAATAGGGTTCTTCATTCAATTTGTTGAGGGTGAGATTTAGTATTTCACACTCTGCGCTCGATTTGGCCTTTTGTGCAATAATTAAGAGGGTAGTCCCTCGGTAGTTGGCGCGAGCCGTGGGATCTCCATTTAATAAATTGGCGGAACACATTCATCTGGCATGCTGTTTTATGCCCCTTGTCAGCCTTTGCAGCCATGTTTAAATAGTTTGGCCCCAAGACTGCTGTCGACTTATCTACAGTATATAACCCTTTATTTCTAAATATATTACTTGTAAACTTTTATATACACGTGTGCATAAAAAAGGCTATCATGCTGGCTGCATTAAATATCTTACAGCAGGAATGACGGCTTTTTATTGCTTTTAATGTGAACTCATACATACATACATATATAAATTTGTAAATACCCCGCAGGGAATAAGTAAACTAGTTTGCAAAAATTATACCTATTAGTTGTTTGTCTGGTAGTTCATAAGTAGCCAGAAGAATAAAAATTTCCAACAGCCTTATATTGTTATCTAGCAACCTGCGCCTGAGTTTTCTTCTCTGCTCTGCTCTATTGAAGTGAGAGTGAGAGCGAGTTCGACTCGCGCTTAGGGCATTTGTTTATTTGTACTCATTTTTTTTTATTGATGAAGCAGAAATTCAGCTTGCCTAAATGAACTGGTATTTTACTAGTATGAACTTGATGCATAGTCGAATAATTGACAGTTCGTAGGACATCGCTGTGTTAAGAATACAAGAAATAGATGGAAGATAAATTATTGAAAAAACAAACTCTAAATTCTAGTTAAGAACTAGGTAGTACTCTTCCCTGCAGGGTAGTTTTATGGGTCTCCCTTATGTAAAGGTGTGTCCAACTGAAGGTTCGCCACGTTTAAGTTAAATCAATTATGGTTAAAGTAAGCATTACTCGTACGGCACTTACTAAGATAATGGAATGTCAGCTATAGATATATACAGCAATTCATGCAAATAGTACTTAGTCATACTGGAAATGATTGGTTGGATAACTATACTGAATGTACTTGAATATATTAAAAGTAATGTGAATATGAAATATTTTAGCTTTTTATATTTTCATATTATATATTACAATTACAGTCTGCGTCACATTAGTATAATACAAAAAATTTCTTTAATTCCTTTTTGACAAGCTCGAAAGGGTCTTCAGCGTTTCATTGCCCAGCAACAGCGATGCACTCAAAACAACACCATCAGAAGTAGAGGATTACCCCCATGTGTATGAATAGACTACGTAATCTACGCCTGACTTTAGGGAGGGTGTTGTCAGCTACAATAGAGCCAATTATCTGGAGGAAAAGTCTTAAGTATGCAGACCTTAAATAAGTGAAGGAGTAGGAGTTTTAGAGATAAGATAAGAAAGTCATTTAAGCTGCCAAACTATTTCAGTACCTTCCAAGTCGAAATATTTGCTTTAGAAAAAGCGACAGAGCTATTGCTAGGGGTCAGCCTTTCATAGGAAGAGAATACACATTTATGTGGATGATCAAATAGGCATCGAGGCTTTAATTTCCTACAGTCGGCTATGGTCGCACTATCTAAATAGGCGCTAAAAATAACGTCTGTAAAAAGAACAGTTTACATTCACAGGGTGCCAGGTGGTCTCACGGGTATCGGTAGTCAAAGGTTATGATGCTTAATTGTCGAAGAAAAGTTTTAGGGCCTTCAATTGGCAATGAACAAGAGGTAAATTTGCGAAGAGATCAGCAATCTTCGCACTATAGACACAATAAAGAGTGTAACGGTGCCGGTCATATGTAATCGTCTGACAATACTATGGAAGTAAAATAAAAATGAAACCCGCTGTTGACTAACCAAGCTTAACGTAACCAATCCTATCAATGCAAAATATTGCATATTTCGGGGAGTCGCGGTAACCGTGTGGTTAGCATTGCTTATCGCCATTCGGAAGGCTCGGTTTCAAATCCTGATGTCGCACTAACATCCAAAAAGTTATAAAAAATTTATTTAAATAATAAATTAGGTTAAATTTTCTAACTGCGATCGACCCTCAGCAGGGAATGCCTTCCCCCCCGATTGTATTTCTGACACGAAAGCCAAAGCTCCTCATAAAAAAAACCATCAGCCGTTCGGGGGCGGCTTAGTATAAACTGTAGGTCCCTTCATTTATTGGAAGAAAACATCAAGACGCAAAACTGGAGGAGTAGCTCGGCCAAAAAACGCTGCAGCGGTTACAAAGCGCTAAAAATTATATTATAAACAAATGCGCAACGTACAAAGAAATTTGCTTAGAAGACCCCAGTTGAAATTTTTTAGAAGAATATTTTCATTGAATATTTTAGCCCTCTAATGGCTATCCAAACTAGGTTTTTGGGGAAATTCTTGACACAAAAGTCGAGAAGAGCATTTCTGGTGCGTGATAAAGCATTAAAAGTACAACAAACTTCACCATTCCTCTCTCCACAACTCACTGACCTTGAACCGGTCCTGTTCTAAGGGGAAAAGTCTGGATATGTATGGTCGGCATGACCAAAATACTCTTCCGGGCGTGAGTTCTTCAGTATATTTACGTTCTAGATATCCCTTGGAGCTTACGACAGGAGACCAAAATTTTAAGTTTTCATGATTTTTTTGCTGCATGTGTTTGCTTTCAGAAATCCAAGCCCAAATTGTTTTTCTTTGCTGCACAGTGTTGTGCTAATTACATATAATATGTATATAGCGCATGGTTGCATATTCGCAATATTATAAAGGATTTTAAGCAGACCCAAGCGAGCAGTACTTTTTATGCACTTTATTTTACATTCCCAATTACAATCTTATCTTATCTTCTTACTTTAAACGAGCAATTCGTCAGTTTGTATTATAAAAAAATGTCATAATATGGAAGTCAAATGGTTCGTAGTTGAAATCTCATTAATTTTTAGATATTTGAAAATAGACTTGCCACTTGGTTTTTTTATTACTTTTAGCGAGCAATACAACAGCTGTTAAATCAAAACTTATATACCCGCTATGTTTAGCATTCCAAAGGCACCGACTTAGGCGATAACTCCGAGAATAATGATTTTTAGTTGAAATCTCGTTCATCATTTCATAATTATTCTTTCACTATTTTAGGTGAGCAATTCAACAGCTTTAACAATTTCGATTTTGTATTAAACTATTTTATACTATGGAATTGTAAATACGAATGCGTATAGTATTTAGGTAGTAAAAAATTTTGCATCAGTCACACTGGTACTATACTACAAATTGCGATAATTCTAGGGCTCATTGTAAATAAATGAAAACATTTGTATGAGAAATGCATTAGAAAAAATTATCAAGTGTTGTTTGAGCATTTTCATTCCCTTGTAAACCAAAGTAAAAAGTTTAATTATCTGTATATATATTTTTTCACTTTTTGTTCATTATCTCTGCACTTTCATAAATAATTGGAAACAAACATTAGATTAAATAAATGTCGATTCATGCATATGCAAAATTATTTTATTTTCATTATTGGGTTGCCTTAAAGATTTTTTTTTTTTTTTTTTGAACAGTTTGAGACTATTAATAATTAATTGTATTTTTCTCTTGACAGTTATAAGCTCTCACTTTTAGCTTGCTTTAGAAAAGAATTACGCGTAATTTTGTTTATATTTGTTTGTTGGGCGCCAATTATATGGAGAACATTTTCGCCATGTTTTACTTTATTATTTCCTTAAAGGAAAAAACGCAGCGCAGCTTGCTGAAAAGCTGCTTAATTTGTATGGTGATAAGGCCTTAAAAGAAACACAGTGTCGAAGTTGGTTTGTCAAATTCCATTCTGACGATTTTTCAAACATAAGCCACCTTCAGGTCGGCCAAGTGAAGTTGATGATGACAATATCAAGGCTTCAATCGAATCGGATTGTCATATAAGTGAGCGTGAGATTGGAGAGAAGTTAAGTATACTAAAATCAAACGTTCATAATAATATACGACGTCTCTGACTGCTAAGAAAACTTGATATTTGGCTACCACCTGAATTGAAAGAAATTTATTGAACAAGCCGCTTCAACGCTTGTGATATGCTTCTTAAACACAATGAATATGATCCGTTTTGGAAGCAAATCATAACTGGTCCAGGCATGATGAAGTGCCTCAAACCATTTCATTGGCTGATATTCCCCAAAAGAATATTATGCTGTCAGTTTGGTGGGATTTAGGCTGCTTTCAATGAACTAAACGATTGATTCGGATGTCTACTGTGAACAACTGGACAAATTGAATACATCCATCAACGAGAAGCGGCCAAAATTGTGCAATCGTAAAGGTTACATATTCCTCCAAGACAATGCTAGACCGCACATATCTTTGGCTACGCGCCAAAAACTGAAAGAGTTTGGCTGGGAACTGTTTATGCGCCCACCATATAGCCCTGACCTTGCACCGTCAGGCTACCATTTGTTTCGATCATTGCAGTACTCATTAAATGGTAAAACTTTCGAAAATAACGAGGCTATAAAATCCCAATTGATTCAGAGTTTTGCAGATAGCAAAAGAAAAAAAAAGAAGTTTTATGAGCGTGGAGCATTGATGTTACTGGAAAGATGGCGAAAGGTCATTCCACAAAAACGATATTACAAAATATATTTGAGTTCATTATAAAATAAAAAAAATGAATTTTCTTTCTTATAAGAAATCGCTGGTTTCTTTTGGGGCCACACAATAATTAATATTTTTGCAATAATAAATACAAAGTACTAAAATTAATCAACATATTTATATATGTAAATAAAATAAACTCCGCATACTAGATGTGGGAAGAAGATAGTAATCAACCGGTTCACCGCTCGTGTAACGGGTTTACACATGTAGAATATTGTATCAGCAAAAAACAATCGCATAGATTTCGACCTTGGAAGGTGTGGCTCAGCGTATTAATTGTTGATGATATGATTCAGTCGTAATTAGTGTAAGGCATATTATTGCAAAAGCAAGCGATAAAAGTACACAAAATGAATAAATTCAATTACAACATCTTGACTGAAAAACTGTCGCCTTCAATAAGATACACAAGGAACGAAACCATCGATCTTTCAAGGGAAAAGTCTCCGGCTCGTGCTATATCTCACGAAGAAGTGATCGCAATTGGCCATCAAGACCTTGTGATTTAACACCTTCTGACCTCTTCCTCTGGAGCCGCGTGA